TTAGGAACGTTTATAAATATTCTAATGTGTTTGGCAATTGAGATTATAATGATTTTAATCTTATATGTGTTGGCTAATTAGATAATATATTAATTAACATTTTCATATGTAAACTTAATGAAATTAATTATGTTTGGCAATAGAAATTGTATTATGAAAAGTGTTTAGTTAATAGGATAGTAGTCATAAAAAATGTTTGCTAGTAAAATAGTAAAAATTATTATAAAATTTAAATTATTTACAAAAATTTAAAAAAATTCTAGTGTTGATACATCACCCAATGCTTCTCATTCGATATATAAAAAAAGATAATGAATGATAGCGATACTTCCAATTGAGGGTAAATTCGTAGTTTTAGTAGGATATTGTTTATTGATTTTGGGGGTTTTTTCTTCTTAACCTTCATCCTCGCATTATAGTGTTTCGAATTTCAATTCGTCTAATTTTCGATCAGTTCGTCGAATTCGAGCACGTAGCTGTTTCGGAAGGATCGAGAATGCCGACGCGAAAAGCAAATGAGAATGTCAAACTCTCCGAAGAAGTAAAAAACGACGACAAAAGCGACAATGAAGGAATTCAAATAGAAGAGAAGAAAAGATGAATTCGTGGGCGAATAAGGTATCAATTGTTGATTTTTTGAAATCGGAATAGCAAATTGAGTAGCGAATTCGTTTGTCCGAGGTGATTGTTCGAATCATTTTAATCCCAAATGATGCGTGTGGAAGGGTTTACTGGTGTTTTTTCTGGAAACATTACTTTGTGTAGTCGAAAGACACATATTTCTGCAATTAGAGCAATCCGTGATGTTGAGGTTGAACAGACACGAACTGCATTAAGGTTACTCTGCTCGTATTTTACTGAGGAACAGCTCGACACTTCTGTATTGTATTGGCTTTCTTCAAAGAGAAACGAAGAAACTGGGGAGACCGAGTTAAAGTGGATTAAATGACAAAAATGGTGTTGAAATGACCGTATTCTATTATAAATGAATGTTCCTGGTTTATACAGTAGGCCCATGGAAGAGCACGCACACTTCACACTTGTGCTTGTAAAAGACTTTGCTTCATGGAAACTGAAGAGAAACAAAGAGGATATATATACACTGCTGAATTTCGAAGAAGAGAAAGAGAGACCAAATACTCTTCATTCTTGATTTGATCTTCATGTCCTAAGAAAACATGTTTCTGTAAGA